AATGCAGATGAGGCAGGCATCGTTTACATTAAACAAACGAATTTCAACAAAAGCTCAACGGCACGACAATCGAGTGTGTGTGTGTGTGTGTGAGTGTGCGGGCGGGTTGATAATGCCCGACACAGTTTCCTGTGGCAGGTCCTTGCTGCTGCGCCTCTTGTATGTGTGGCAAAGTGCTGTAAATTGAGCGCATCACCAAAAATAGCAACATTTTGCATACGGAGACTTGACAACCAGAACAAGCTACAAGCTATATAGATATATGTATATAAAGAGACATATATACATATATATATATATATATTAATATGTGTGCCTGTAGCATGCCACATATCGAATGTCTCTCAGGGCGAGAAGCCATTCAAAGTGTATGTGTGGCCGCTGCGCATGCGCAAAACCGCAAACTCAATGCAAGCCAGGTGGCCAAAGGGTGTGGGCTGGCCTTTGGGTTTGTTGCATGTGTGTGTGTGTGTGTGCGTGTGTGTATGTGTGTGCATGCCACAAGCCGTAGCGTTTGTGAAGAGCGTGCCGGACACATTGGCAATTTAACGCCTGCTTGTGCGTGTGTTAGGCAGGTGGCAAATTGTCCGCCCCTCACCCACAACAGCAACACTTAAGTCCTTGTCGTCATCATCATCATCATCAGCATGGCAACGGCAGTGAACAGCACTCTCTTGTCGGGCAAAGCAAGACCACAGACAGTTAAATTCTATATTGCCAATGGCAATTGGCAAAACAACAGGAGAGGTGCACTTTAATCGGGCCCCAGCTAATCGGCCATGCGTAAAGCCGCCTCCGCCTTTGACTGTTCCAATCGACCAAACATATGTTTGCCATATGTGTGCGTCTCTTTTATTTTTATTTTGCATTTTTTTCGCTGCCCCAATCCGATTTCTAGCACTACTAAATTGTTAATTGCCACAACATTGCACGCTGCAGTTGTTCTTTTGGGGCTTGCAACATGGCCATAAAAATATGTAAATAGCGTGAAATACAATTTTTAATACCCTGTGCCTTATTGAAAATGGTTTCAACAGAGGGTACAATGGGTTTGTGCAAATATTTGTATCAGGCAGAAAGGAGCAGCTCTTCGCCCTCTTGTTTGTCTGTCTTTCGTTCTTGAGCTCTTTTTGCAGATGCAATAATCAATATGAATCGATAACTTGTATTGATTGAAACCGATAACTAGTTTGGCTAAAAGCAGATAAATTATATCGTTAAATATCGATAAAAAACCAATACTCGTATTGATAAAAATCGAAAGCTTATGCCGATAAAAATCGATGGCTCATGTCGATGAAAATCGATAACATATCGAAAACCCGATAAGATCGACTAACATCGATTTTCTGCTTGGCTGGTTTGCTGGGTACAGGGTATCTTTAAGTCGAGCGCTCTTGTTTTCTGCTTGCCTCGCTTAGTCTATGTAAAAACTTAAAACGTTTCAAATCGTTTTAACTATTTATAGTTCATTTATGAACACGTGTATCATGTTTAAGTTTGAAATACATTTGAGGTGTAGTCGGAGCAAGTAATATTCTATAAAACTTTGTTTTGCAACAGGCAAATCTACAAGTTCCTCAGATACTTCTTGTAAATACATATTACCAATAGTCTTGTATCGCCCAGATAATAGATATTTTAGATAGATATTTATATAGATATAGATATATAGATGTTTTGAGTTTTTAAGGACAGGTACTTAACAGGTAATCCTGCATATCATTGTGACCACTTTTTAAAGCTAGATTACTTTTGAAACTCACAGATATCTTTAAGTTTTTGTTATATTACTTTTGTGGACACTTGTATCTCTGAGATGTCTGCACTACACAGCAGATACATTTGCATCTTGAAGATCTTTGCATTGTGCAAGCACTTTTGAATCCTATAGATATGTTTTTTGCAGCAGATACATTTGTATCTTGGAGATCTTCGCATCGTACAGAAAGATGTAGGTTGTATTTTTATTATTTTTACTTATGTGTGCAGCAGATACATGTGTATCTTGGAAATCCCTGCATTGTACAAATACTTTCGAATCCTACAGAGAGATATACATTTTATTTTACTCTTGTGTGCAGCAGATACATTTGTATCTTAGAGGTCTTTGCATTGCCCAAATACTTTTGAACCTAACTGACATCATTTGCTGTAAAATTATCAATTTTAAATTGTGGCGGGTTTTTGCTTGTTGCTTGTCATAATAAAAATATCGTTATCAAATTTGTGCCAAATCAGTTGCTAAAAATGAAATCCATTTTTTTTTCTAGTCATTTTAAGCCATTGCCAATATTTGGTATTTAAATTTTCAATGCATTTTGGAATTTGCCGCTGTGCTTTTTAGCATTTCAAAGGATATACTTTCTATGAATATGATACAACATTCTGTTGCTGTCGCTGTCTGTTGTTGTTGTTGTTGTTGTTGTTGTTGCTGCTCTTGTCGTCGCAGTTGTTTTTGTTGATAGAACGAAAAAATAAACAAATTACTTGCGTGGTTATCAATAACCTTGCGCTGTAGCGGGCGTTTGACTGTGTAGCGTTGTGTGTGTGCCCAAATGTGAAAAATATATTTGCATGTTTTGCGTTGAAAATGAATTTATAATCCCTACAAAATGGGTCAGCCCAACCAGCAAAAATATTTATAAAAGCAGCACAAACCGAAGCCAACCAGCACTTCGGTTAGACTTTTCTGTTTATTGTTGTTGCTGTTGTTGTTGTTGTTGTCGTCGTTGTCACTTGGATTTATTGGATTTATTACGGCACAGCGCAAGTTACTGCCCGGAGTTCTCCTCTTTTTTTTCGGGAGCTGGTGCTGTGAAGGTGATACGAGGGCGGGGACTTGATTCTGAATCCAATAAAATAAAATTGTGTGTGTTGTTTGTTGTTTTTTTGTTTTTTATTTAAGTTTGTCCTGCTGCATTGTTGCAATAAAAGAATATGCGAAGGTTTTTATCATTTATTAAAACGGCAATTTTATATTTCCATAGACATATTGCATTTCGAACAAGTCTCCTTTGTCTATTGGAATGCACAAAAACAACAGCAGAGTGAAACCACAATAGTAACAAATGCAACCAAAAACATGCACATTTCTTTACTCTGCATGTTCGAAATTTGTGTGTGCAAATGAAATTGAGATTGTTGTTTCAACTCACACACACACACACGCACGCACCAAAAAGTAGCAAATATGTAAAAACACTATCAATTTTTTTCTAGCTGTACAGCATTAATTATAATTCATTTTCTGCATATGTCAGTATATATTTAAAAATTCACAAAGATATTTATTTTTATTCCGAATTATGCTTGCTTTGGAATCAAATTATTTTTAATACGATAATCAAAATAATTGTCAAAGCTATCGCATTTGTTAAAAGCAGTTTGTCAAATGTCAAATTTTAGTTTTTCAAATTACCCTTAAAACAATTTTGACGGGACTCGGTATTGTGCTACAAATTTAATATAGTTTGTCACTCAGTTTCAGCCCGTGAAATGGAGAATTCTATCTTGAACTCCACTTTTATCAGGAAATATGTTTAAAATTCATCGATCCAATAACCAAGTTGGCATCAACGGCCTCCGCCCTTGTTCGTCTTGTGGTGAGCATCTGGAAGCCGAAAAATAAACTTCAGTTATTCAGTCAGTCAGTCAATCAGTCAGTCAGTCAGTCAGTCAGTCAATCAATCAGTCAGTCAGTCAATCAGTCAGTCAGTCAGTCAGTCAGTCAGTCAGTCAGTCAGTCAGTCAGTCAGTCAGTCAGTGAGTCATTCAGCCAGTCAGTCAGTCAGTCAGTCAGTCAGTCAGTCAGTCAGTCAGTCAGTCAGTCAGTCAATCAGTCAGTCAGTCAGTCAGTCAGTCAGTCAGTTAATCAGTCAGTCAGTCAGTTAGTCAGTCAATCAGTCAGTCAGTCAGTCAGTCAGTCAGTCAGTCAGTCAGTCAGTCAGTCAATCAGTCAGTCAGTCAGTCAGTCAGTCAGTCAGTCAGTCAGTCAGTCAGTCAGTCAATCAGTCAGTCAATCAGTCAGTCAATCAGTCAGTCAGTCAGTCAGTCAGTCAGTCAGTCAGTCAATCAGTCAGTCAATCAGTCAGTCAGTCAGTCAGTCAGTCAGTCAATCAGTCAGTCAATCAGTAAGTCAGTCAATCAGTCAGTCCGGACAATAAGTTTTATATATAGAGATATGTTAAAGTTCTTTCTTTCCCATCCCTTTAAAAAGTTATCTTTTACTAGCTTTTACGCTATATTTTCAATTGAATCTTGGAATATTTAAATAATAATTTAATATTTCAAAATCTAAGCTTTAAGAATATTCATCAACTCAACAATTTACCATTTGCGCTGAAGCCATCCTCTGAACCTTTTCATCTGTTTGCTGGTACGCTGAACTTCAGCCCATCATTGAAAACTTATAATGCCATTGTTTTTTCCCTTTTAAAGTTGACTTATTGTTTAACGTCTAGCAGATTGTAAATAAAATACTCAAAAAATAAATAACAATTTACAATTGACTTGCAGAGTTGAACAAAACCCGAGCCGAGAAAAATAAGTAAAACTGCTGGGTATTGAGGCGTATTTAAACATTTAATTGCTATTCGCACTTGGAAAAAGAAAAGAATCTCAATATGCACATTTATTTACTTTTGGGTGTGAATTTCAAATATATTTGAGTTTCTCTCAGCTTGCAGCAACAAATATATTCAAAGTGCGAATGACAAACACAAATAAATTGATGGCTAGTGCAATTTTCGGCATTAAATGCGCTTAAAATTCGCAAACGGTTCTGGCGTCAACCTTGCCTTGGCAAAAATATGCAATCAAGTCAGCTGCCTAATTGTTGCCTGGCCAATTTAGTAAAACTAACTCGTCTAATTAAAATGCACTTGCCAGGATCCTTGAACATGGCCAGGGTCGTGCGCGACACTAAATGCCCACGCTCTGGGAATTTGTTTACATTGAGAACTTGAACAAAATGCTCATCATCAACTATTCTCTTGCAGATGCCATTCCCCAACAACAACAACAACAACAACAACAGCAGCAGCAACTACAACAACTCGGAGCTCAAGCAGGACAATCGCACCAACAGCAACAGGCGCCGCGTTTTACAACGCATCCGTCGTCATCGGGATCCATTGTTAGCGAAGGACGCACGAAGATTTTACAGTGTCATGCGCTGGGTAAGTTGAAGCCAACAATAAGTTAGTTCGAAACTTAAGCCTCGGACATGGAGCCGACTCGGGCGTGGAGCGCGTCTAAACATTACACTTGTCCTTCAAAATGCCTGACAGTGTGCAGCTTAAGGATCTCGTGGGCGGGCGAATGGGCATAGCGGCAAGTGTCATGTAAAATAAAACCATAAACGAAAAGACATATTTTTTTTTTTCATTTTTTTCACCCAGCTTTTCCATTGTGTGTCTGGAGGGGGGGGGGGGGGGGGTTGTGTTTTGGATGAGCGGGCGCCTTTTGCTTTTGAAAGATAATGAAGTAGAAAAACAATAACTTTTATGAGGTTTCCAGCGTTTGGGAAGCCCCCGAGAGAGCGGCATAATCCTCTGAGCCGTTTTGCTAGCAAGGCAGGGGGCACTTAAGGGCGTGCACACGCCCACAACCACGCCCACCCACAGCCGCAACCATACACAACCACGCAGACACGCACGTGCACACACAGACACACACAGGTGTTGCTCGACTGTGGGTTAAACCTTCTGCGTCTGACATTTCCAAGTATCGGTTACATATTGTTTCGTCCCAAAAAATTTCGTCGAAATTTTGTTATGAGCCGGCTGCTGGCAGCTCGGACTTGGGACTCGGTTTCGGTCTCGTCCTTGTCATCAGCTTTTGCCGTTTGCTGTTTGTGTTCAGGCCGGAGTCCTGTAAGTGCCCTCAAGACAATTTCGAGCCCTGTTCCTGTGTGTGTGTGTGTGTGCTTGTGCATGAGTGTGATATTGGCTTTGTGCCGTATAGCCACACGATTCGCACAATTAGCCGTGAAATATTTAAAAATTAATGCATATTGGCTCATTGATGATCCAAAAGGCCTTTTGACCCGAACGCATACCTTTGCATCTGTCCGTGTGTGTCTCCCTTGGCAACTTTATTTGCCCAAAAATGCTCTGAAGGTAAACTCGAATTTCGGGCTGCTCACTCGGCCTGTAAGCCTTCGAAATTTTCAATCAAAGTGGAGCAGTTGGATATCCTTTTATTTAACGGCAACCGTTTTTAGCTCAAAGATATTTTTGTATATTAAAAGAATTTTTTGTTTTGTGGATACTTTTGTAGCTTAGTTGATAACATTCCGGATACTTTTGTGTCCTTGTTTTTGACGAATGCGTCTGTATCTCAAAGATACTTTCCTGCTTTTTCGCTTCCTTGATACTTTTGTGTCTTTCTAGATACAATTGTTGCCTTATAGTTCATCAATAACTTTTTATCTCAATATGCTTAGCTCCATTCTGCTTTCGTAGATACTTTTAAATCTTTGTTAATTACATACTAAATACAAATGTTGAATTGTAGTTCATCAATACCTTTGTATCTCAATATACTTAACTATATATTCTGCTTTGTGCTATTCTCTATGTACTTATACTTCAAGAAGACGTTTGTATCTCAAAGATACGTACGTTACTTAAAGATACTTTTGTATGATTTCTTCAGATATCGAATGTATCTACTGCAGCTGAACGATGTTTTCGTATCTCACACATGTAATAGATTCTTTTCGGATCTAAAAGAAACCGCGCTTAAATCTAATACAACGTTTTCAAGTAAAACATGTATTAAGCTGATTGGTTACTGTGTTTTTGACGTGTTGCATTGGGGTTCGTTTTAACGTAACATTCATTCAAAACATTCGAAACACGTCAATGCAAACGTTGATCCAACAATCTGGCGGGTTGCCTGTGGCCCTAAGTGATTGGCCTTTGATAGCCGGGCCATTTGAGCAGTTTCAGCTGTGTATCTGCATAGATAACTACACACACACACACACGCACACACACAGCACACATGCATACATGAATGTAGTCTAGAGGCTCGTTGTGTTTGGGTTGGTGAAGAGCGCTGCACTTTGCGCAAGCTGCAAAATGGCCAAAGGCAAAAATTTGGAAACCGAAAGCGAAAAAAAAAATAAGAAAAAATCGTCACGCCGAAGATTGAACACACTTGTAGAAGGCCAGAAGTTTGCCAGACATGTGGCCAAACTAGTGAAGGTTCCTTTATAGAGAGAGAGAGAGTTGCAGATACATAAACTATGGAGCTGTTTAATATTATGATACAACAGTCTGATATGTGACTCCTATGTGAGGACCTTGGTAGAGCTTGTTTCTTGTGCAAGAATATAAATTTTAAGCGATTGTGCCCAGGACCCAAAGTTATCCGATCCGGCCGATTCCGAACTATATATACAGCTTGGAAGAGAAAGACGAAAGTTTAAATGCATTTGCATAGAAACAGCTTGACTCGGTTATTGATGCTGATCCAGAATATATGTATATGCTCTATAGGGTACGGCGATATTTGCTTCGATGCGTCACAATCAAAATCAACAGATAAACAAAATGCAAAAACAAAGCATGCATATCTTTTTAGCTGCTCTTTGGTGTTGCTCTTGTTGTTGCTCTTGTTGCTCTTGTTGTTGCTGTTGTTGCTGCTGGTGTCACACATGCCGCGACAAGCATTGCCAATGGCTGTGGCGCTTCACGCACTCAGTCACTTTGGCGCTTTCAATTGTCAACACACAGATGCATGAACACACACGCGCCAGCATAGATACAGATACATAGATACTTGTGATACGAGCTTGCGGATGCGAATATGCACGCGTATACTAAGTATATGTGTGTGCGTGTGTGCATAGGCACACTGCAGCTTCTTCCCGCTTCTAAACTTGCTTCTCTCTTTTTTTTATTTTTTATTTTTACTTAACTTCTTTTTTGTATTTTTTACCAGCCAGCTTTTCATTTGGCGCTCTACGAAATGCAAGTTTTGTGGCTTTGTAACGTTTCTGCTCATGACAATAAAAACCAGAGAATACAAAAATAACAATGAACAAAACTAAAACAATGTAATGTGTGTGGCTTATGGCTGACTATGAGATACCCCCTTGCAATTGAATTCAGTTGAGGTTCTCTGAATATTTGCTTAGAAGCTTTTGTTGTTAATTCTCAATTTCAGGTAAGTTCGCAAATATAAAAGGGTTATTTTGGTTTTGCTAGCTTTGCAGGTTTTTCATTGCTTATAATTCTCAAGTGGTTCTATGGACAATCTATAATTTGTAGCAAGCTTTGCTGATGATAGAACAATTTGTCAATAGTTACAAAGTTGATACAATACTTCTGATACAATAGGCAACAGCGGAATTCAGAACTTGGCTGATAAAACATTTAAGTACATGATTGATAAAATGCCTTCTTGAACATCAGGGTTCAAATCCCTATGCTGTAGATGTGGCTATGTATGAGATGTTGATCAAATGAAGTAGTACTTTCTTGTAGAGTTTTTTTTTTTTTTTTTGGCTATATAATCTACAGCACAGCAGAGATTTGATCGCTAATTAGGCATGCTACTCGCCACAGACTCCAGGCCGTGGTCCTATCAAAATTGCAAAAGAAAGGCCTATCAGCTATATAAGAGCTCCTCTTTCCAACTCGACAAACTCTGCTAAAGCGCAATTGGGGAAATCGTAAACTGGAATATGCCGCCAAATGTGTAGCATACTCTCGGGCGCCGGCTTAAGCTGCCCCACAGAATGTTGATGCTGCGGAACTATTATCAAATGAATCCGAAGAGATTTAGAGGGCAGAAACAAGAGGCGATTGTTCTGCTGTTGTTCTAGTTGTTGTTGTTTTGTGGCGCCATCTGGCGGAATGGCGCGATAAACTGCGGTTAGCAGATTTGGTAAACAGGTAAAAACTGTTAATCACGATTATCTACGACAAGCTGAAAGGAGCAAGAGCATGGGGTAAAGAGGGGGGCATGTAACTAATATGCCAGCAAGCTACCAGGGAGCAGCAAGTGCTGCAAGTACTTCCCGGTGGCAGCACTCGTACCTTAGCTGTGTCATAAGCATAAAGCCTGGCAAAATGTGTGTTGAATTGTTTTCTAGCCAACAAAAATGAAGCCGAAAGAGACAGAGACGTGCACACGAGTGGGCCGCGTTGCCGAGCTGCGTTTTAAATGTGGCGCATTCACTTGCAACAAAGACTCTTTTATGGCTACAAAGTCGTTGCCGTTGCCGTTGCCGAGTGCCACTACCTAACGCTGAGAACTTCTAGCATGGCAGCAAATGGGCGGCTCGCTGGGCGTCTTCCAGCAGCCAGGCGTGAGACAAAAGAAGCAGAAGAAAAACACACACTCACACACACACACACACACATGAGCGTGTTGTGAACGTGCGTGGCTTACACCCACTTTTGGTGCTGGCGTTTTTGGGTCTTGAGTCTTGCGACCGCTTGCCCACATCCCTCTCATCTTAAGCGTCAACACGCAAAACTAACAACAACAAGAAAATATATAAATAACAAGAAAAACCAAAAAAAACGAAAGAAAAAAAAAACAAAGCAGCAAGAAGCATTACTAAGCGAAAAAAAATTGTATTGTTTTTGTGTGTTTTGCCGCTATTTGTTCCATAAGGTTTATTTTTTGTTTTTGTTTTTTTTTTCTTCTTAAGCTCACAATGCGGCTTCGCGTTTTTTGTGCCTGCTTTTATTGTTATTCCTGATGTTTTCGCGCTAGTACTATTTCCCGGCTGTTGATAAAGGCCTATATTGTTGCTGTCAAAATACAGGATAAACAAGAAGAAGAAAAAACAGTAGGAACGCATCGAGACGATTGGGCAAAACTCTGTTTAGGGCGTGAAACAAGCTGACGAAAAGTTAAAATCTTCTTTGATCTATCTGCAGAATAAGTACGCAATAACCTAAAAACTGAAGAAGAGTTCGCTTCTCGCGATTTGCCCGCCGTTTCCAAGTAGGCCCACTGCGTATAATTTATGTGACAAAGCATATATATTTATATATATATTATCTCTATATATAAAACTGTTTGTCCTGACTGACTGACTGATTGGTGATCAACGCACAGCCCAAACCGTAACAGCTAGGAAGCTAAAATTTTCACTGTAGTTACTTTATGTGGCGGGTTTTCGGGAAATTCCACCCGCAAGTGTGGAAAAATC